GGATGCAAAAATTCTCAATAAGATACTAGCAAATCGAATTCAACGGCATATAAAAAGAATTATTCACCATGATCAAGTGGGATTCATTCCTGGGATGCAGGGCTGGTTCAACATTCACAAATCAATCAACGTGATACATCACATTAACAAAAAAAAAGAGAAAAACCATATGATCCTGTCAATCGATGCAGAAAAGGCCTTTGACAAAATCCAGCACCCTTTCTTAATAAAAACCCTTGAGAAAGTCGGGATAGAAGGAACATACTTAAAGATCATAAAAGCCATTTATGAAAAGCCCACAGCTAACATCATCCTCAACGGGGAAAAACTGAGAGCTTTTTCCCTGAGATCAGGAACACGACAGGGATGCCCACTCTCACCGCTGTTGTTTAACATAGTGCTGGAAGTTCTAGCATCAGCAATCAGACAACAAAAGGAAATCAAAGGCATCAAAATTGGCAAAGATGAAGTCAAGCTTTCGCTTTTTTGCAGATGACATGATATTATACATGGAAAATCCGATAGACTCCACCAAAAGTCTGCTAGAATTGATACATGAATTCAGCAAAGTTGCAGGATACAAAATCAATGCACAGAAATCAGTTGCATTCTTATACACTAACAATGAAGCAACAGAAAGACAAATAAAGAAACTGATCCCATTCACAATTGCACCAAGAAGCATAAAATACCTAGGAATAAATCTAACCAAAGATGTAAAGGATCTGTATGCTGAAAACTATAGAAAGCTTATGAAGGTAATTGAAGAAGATTTAAAGAAATGGAAAGACATTCCCTGCTCATGGATTGGAAGAATAAATATTGTCAAAATGTCAATACTACCCAAAGCTATCTACACATTCAATGCAATCCCAATCAAAATTGCACCAGTATTCTTCTCGAAACTAGAACAAGCAATCCTAAAATTCATATGGAACCACAAAAGGCCCCGAATAGCCAAAGGAATTTTGAAGAAGAAGACCAAAGGAGGAATCACAATCCCAGACTTTCGCCTCTACTACAAAGCTGTCAACATCAAGACAGCATGGTATTGGCACAAAAACAGACACATAGACCAATGGAATAGAATAGAAACCCCAGAACTAGACCCACAAACGTATGGCCAACTAATCTTTGACAAAGCAGGAAAGAACATCCAATGGAAAAAAGACAGTCTCTTTAACAAATGGTGCTGGGAGAACTGGACAGCAACATGCAGAAGGTTGAAACCAGACCACTTTCTCACACCATTCACAAAAATAAACTCAAAATGGATAAAGGACCTGAATGTGAGACAGGAAACCATCAAAACCTTAGAGGAGAAAGCAGGAAAAGACCTCTCTGACCTCAGCCGTAGCAATCTCTTACTCGACACATCCCCAAAGGCAAGGGAATTAAAAGCAAAAGTGAATTACTGGGACCTTATGAAGATAAAAAGCTTCTGCACAGCAAAGGAAACAACCAACAAAACTAAAAGGCAACCAACGGAATGGGAAAAGATATTTGCAAATGACATATCGGACAAAGGGCTAGTCTCCAAAATCTATAAAGAGCTCACCAAACTCCACACCCGAAAAGCAAATAACCCAGTGAAGAAATGGGCAGAAAACATGAATAGACACTTCTCTAAAGAAGACATCCGGATGGCCAACAGGCACATGAAAAGATGTTCAGCGTCGCTCCTTATCAGGGAAATACAAATCAAAACCACACTCAGGTATCACCTCACGCCAGTCAGAGTGGCCAAAATGAACAAATCAGGAGACTATAGATGCTGGAGAGGATGTGGAGAAACGGGAACCCTCTTGCACTGTTGGTGGGAATGCAAATTGGTGCAGCCGCTCTGGAAAGCAGTGTGGAGGTTCCTCAGAAAATTAAAAATAGACCTACCCTATGACCCAGCAATAGCACTGCTAGGAATTTATCCAAGGGACACAGGAGTACTGATGCATAGGGGCACTTGTACCCCAATGTTCATAGCAGCACTCTCAACAATAGCCAAATTATGGAAAGAGCCTAAATGTCCATCAACTGATGAATGGATAAAGAAATTGTGGTTTATATACACTATGGAATACTACGTGGCAATGAGAAAAAATGAAATATGGCCTTTTGTAGCAACGTGGATGGAACTGGAGAGTGTGATGCTAAGTGAAATAAGCCATACAGAGAAAGACAGATACCATATGGTTTCACTCTTATGTGGATCCTGAGAAACTTAACAGGAACCCATGGGGGAGGGGAAGGAAAAAAAAAAAAAAGAGGTTAGAGTGGGAGAGAGCCAAAGCATAAGAGACTGTTGAGAACTGAGAGCAAACTGAGGGTTGATGGGGGGTGGGAGGGAGGAGAGGGTGGGTGATGGGTATTGAGGAGGGCACCTTTTGGGATGAGCACTGGGTGTTGTATGGAAACCAATTTGACAATAAATTTCATATATAAATAAAAAAAAATTACTTTTGGTATTTTGTAAGGTGTGTATTTTCATTCCATAGGTTACCTTTGTTTATTACTTTTTATAGTGCCTGAAATCTCCTCTATTTTTACCTAATGTTTTACTATCTGACATCAGCCTTACTTACACAACAGAGTGGTTGTATTCTATTTTCCTTTTTTTCCCCTGCTTTATCCTCTCATTTTTTAAATAAATTGCATCTTCTGATTTTTTTGTCAGACATGTGACCTCAGTCTCATTTTTGTCTCAGCAATAGAATATCTGTGAAATGCTCATTCTTTGGGAAACTCTGGACAAATTTATTCCAGTAATTTTTTGGCTGGATGAAACTCATCCTCTCCTAGATTCCTCAGGAATACTATGTATGTGCAGCATTCTCTGAATACTGGCACATTCCAAACTATTTTTCCAGGGCCTTGGTATCTGAAAGTCAGCTTGGCTGTATACATTTTGGTTTACATTTTCTTTCCTTTAGTTTCTTGAAAATGGTGCTCTACTTGGCCTTACTTTGTTGTGCTGAGAAGGCTGATGCTGGTCAAATACTATTGTCTTTGTAAGTTATTTGATCTTTTCACTTGGAGGCATGGTGCATTTTCCTATCTTTAAAGCCTAATACGTTTACTGGATATGTCATAGAATTGATCTTTCGAGGTCAGATTTCCCTAGTACCCAATGAGAGATTCAGGTCTTCTTTTATTCTGGGAAGAGTTCTTGGATTATAGTTCCAAATATTAGTGTTGTTCAGTTGTTTTATTTCTTCAAGAAACTCTTTTACTTCCTTTCACTATCGTTGTCCTGGTTATGGCATTTTTTTTCCAATGCTTTTTTATCTGTCTGTATTTATAAACTTAGTTTTCATTTCTGATATGCTTTTGTCTTTTCCTATTTCTTTCCTAAGTTTTACCAACTCTCCTTTTACTTCTTCCTGCCTTTTTTTAAAATCAATTTCTATTCTTAGTTTTTTAAAAAAATTCTGATTTAAAGTGTTTTTTTGTAGTGGCAAATGCTTTGTTTAAGGATATTTGAGTTTGGAGTGTTATATTAGTTTTCTTTAGCTTTGTGGTCAAATTGTTTTGGAGAGTTTTTATCAGAAGGAAAACTTTAATTCATATTGTCTGATTTTTTACAGTAGTTTTGTAATAATGGGTACAGATTTAATTTTTTTTTTTCCTATTCCTTTTTCTTTCACAGAAAGAGTTCTTAGTTCAACAGCACACTCTCCTGTGCAGTTCTTTATGGATCATGATTGTCATGGTGGAGGTAGATGGAAAGGACTGGTATGTATTGTTTCTCTTTCATTTCTGCATAATCTTTAATTTTCTCCTCTTATTTCCTTATTGCCTAGTCTCCAAGGGATACCATCTTGTTTCTGTTCACTTGGTTATTCCCCAGAGACAATGATTTTCCAATGTTGCCACTTCTGGTTACACACTTCCTCAAGTCCTGGGAACCACCAACTACTATTCTGTGCTTAGAGTCTGGCATTCATTATTGCATTTTCTTTCTGGAGGTGATTTTATTTGAATTTTGTCTAATTGTTCTGTTTTTCCTAGTTCTTTTCCAGAGTCATTGAAGGCTTACCACCCCTGTTCTTTGTATTCTAGGTTTCACCACAGGCAAGCTGCAGGAGCTTGAAATTTTTTTATTCTATTTATATATATTTTCAAAGATGTGATGTTTTATGTCACAGTCATATTGAAGGCATGGGTTCTATGTGATTTTATTAGCTTTCTTTGTCGATTTTATGTTTTCTGGGGGGATGAAGTCAGGGAAATTCAAAATCAGTTGATTGTCAGTGATCTCTAGAAACGTTCTTTTATCTTTCTACTCTTAACAATATTTATTTGTATGTCTATTTCAAGATAATGCCACTGTATCTGTTCTGTTGTAAGCTGCCTAAAATTTTGTGAAGAACAATGCAGAGTAAAAATAAATTTTTACTTTTTAGTACTAAAAAATAAAAGTAGGGGCACCTGGGTGGCTCAGTTGGTTAAGCATCCGACTCTTGATACTGGCTCAGGTCATGATCTCCTGGTTCATGAGACTGAGCCCCATTTTGGGCTCTGGGCTAACAGTGCATCCAGTTGATATTCTCTCTCTTTCTCACTGCCCCTTCCTTGCTTGCATGTGTACGCACTCTCTCTCTCTCTTTCAAAATAAATAAATATACATTAAAAAAAAATGAAAGTAAAAAATCCTCTGCCTTGGAGGTTTCTTTTCTTCTTTTGTTTTTTTCTTTAATACAATGAAGTATGAGAAACAGAAGAAAAGAAAAAGGGAAAATAAAAGGGTAAAACAATAGAATAGCAGTGAGATTGGCCATTTCAGTCCATGGTTATCTGGTTTTGCAAGCAATTTCTTTGAGCAACAGTAGCAGGACTTCAGCACAGAAACAGCCTCTGAAAGTGATTGCCATTAAGATTTATGCTATTTTATACTATGTTACTCACATCTGTAAGCTCCAGGATATTACACAGCATCATTGCTATATACCTCACATGTTTATGCACTTACACAGAAAACACACATATGTAATATATGCACTTACTTGTTTCACATTCTGGAGTTCTTCTGTCAACTGTTTCTTTTGCCTTTCTGATTCAAATAGTTTTTCCTATATTTAAAAACCACTGAATTAATAACATGTTATGAAGTACCAATGAGTATCATTCTTAGGGCTTTATTTCAACATTTATAAATTCTCCAAACATCCAATCGCTACGATCTGAAAGTAGTTCTCAGTCAGTTTTCTAGCTTTACACATACCATTCAAAAGCAATTAGTTATTTACAGTACAACTGTGATATAAATGCATTTCCTGTTAACTGTAAAGAGCCATTTTGTACACTCTCCACTTCTGAGCTCCAAAATAAATCCATCAAGATGAAAATGTGTAAATACTAACAAAATTTGGAAAAGAGTGATCATTACCCAGGCGCTTCCAAACTGAAGAGCATTACTGTTACATCTTAGAGGTAAAGGTCTCTTACCACACGAGAGGACATAAGAAATTGGATTGACTATTCTTTTCCTGATTTAGCTTGTACTTGGAAGATTATCCACAAAAATGAAGATATGGCTACCATAACCAAACTACAAAACAATAGTTACTAATGTAGAACATGCATGCAAATTAAATACTATCATCTTTTAACATTAACTTAAGCACATACTCTAAAACATTCAGTGTTTTAAAAATATATCATAAATAAATCCACATTTTATTGATCAAATCAAAAATACTCAGAGTAATTTAAGGACCATTTTACTATAAACTTGGGCAGAGGAACTGCTTGAAGATTAAGTTGAGTGGTAAATATTCATGGCAACATTGCAATGTTTATAAGAAGCATTCTGCTTCCTGGTATATTTCAGCTCATTCTTATCTAACAGATGAAATGAGGGTGTATGAAGATGAATATCATATAGCAATCTAATGAATCTGCCACAGGCCGGGAGCCAGGAAACTGCTGGCTCTCATGCTTTGATGCTCTAGCAACTCACCTTCACTCTGTGTCCTACTTTTTTTGCATCTGTAAATGGAAAATACATCTATTTTCATTCAGCTTTGCAAACCAGTAGCAATCTAAACTTTGTAGGGAGATGGCTTCAAGTTAAATAAAGAACACAGCACTTTTAAAAATCATTCTTGTAAAATAAAGAAAAAAGTAGCCACTGGCATCAACTTATCTTGGTTTCGTTTTTATTTGTATTGTACCTCAAGTCAGAGATGAAGGATAGAGATGTCACAGGATAACGGCAAGTGACTAGAGAGCACCTACACATTCTGTGAACTGCATTTAACAACCTCTGTCATTTGTGTGTGTGTGTGTGTGTATAACACAAGTAAAAATACTGAAGGTACAAATGTTACCTCAATGAAGTATTTATTGCTTTGTACACTCTGTATGGCTAAACAAGTGGTTCTCAGCCACTAGGTTTCCAGGTAAAGTAAATTATAAAATACAGAATATGCTTTATCTGAGATTTCAGGTCCTATCACATTAGGGTATGTTCAGTTACGTTTTACAGACATTAAACGCGAATCCTGATTTATTGAATAGCTATTTAGGGAAGACCTGTTTAAATATTGTCTAAATACACTTTTAAATTAAAATTCTAATAATTAATACTGATATTCAAATAAAAACTGAAATATATCACTAAACAATGATAAATATTAAGAAAATGAAAAAAGACTTGAGAGCCTCTCAAAATTCTAATGAACCATAAGATTAAATGGCTTACAGAGAGATAAATTATGTAAGATGATATTTTACCAAGATAACCATTGTTGGAGATGTTTTCAAAGAGAATATGAGGAAATATTGTCAATTTATTCTTAAAGCTAAATTTGTATTTTTCATTTTGTGACTCTTAACTGTTATACCAACAAATGTAGAAGTGGTTTCAAAGTTGTAAAAAAGTCTATAAATATTCCTTTAGTAATGGAATGTTCATACACACTTGGAAGGAACATGAATTGGTAAAATCTTTTGAAGGGTAATTTGGTAGCATGCATAAAATTTTATATGACATATCCTTTGATAAAGCAATCTGACTTTCAGAAATATTCAATTTGTATTTTTAAAATTGTAGAAATTACTCAAAGATACAACTACAAAGCTATTTATGAAGGAATTATTTTTAATTTTTTTAAAGTTTATTTATTTTTATATTTTTTTAATGTTTTTATTTATTTTTGAGAAAGAGAGAGAGAGAGAATGAGCATGGGAGGGGCAGAGAGAGGGAGACACAGAATCTGAAGCAGGCTCCAGGCTCTGAGCTGTCAGAACAGAGCCTGACGTGGGGCTCAAACTCATGGACGGTGAGATCATGACCTGAGCTGAAGTCGGACGCTCAACCGACTGAGTCACCCAGGCGCCCCAAGTTTATTTATTTTTGAGACAGAAAGAGACAGAGTGTGAGTGGGGGAGAGGCAGAGACAGAGACAGAGACAGAGAGAGAGAGAGAGAGCAGACACAGAATCTGAAACAGACTCCAGGCTCTGAGCTGTCAGCACAGAGCCTGACACGGGGCTCCAACTCTGAATGGCGAGATCATGACCTGAGTGGAAGTTGGACACTAAACCAACTGAGCCACCCAGGCACCCCTGAAGGAATTCTTTTTAATAGTGGAAAACTGGAAACAGCTTAAATATTCATCTATAAGGAACTGGCTAGAAAACTTAGGACAGAACCATTTGATGGCAGAAGAGCCATTGGGGAGAATTTGGCAGATACGCACATATTAACTTGAAAAGTAGCCTAAAATATAAGGCTAACAGGGGTGCCGGGGTGGCTCAGTCAGTTAAGCATTTGACTCTTGATTTCAGCTACTTGATTCCACAATTTGTGGGTTGGAGCCCTGTGTTGGACTCTGTGCTGACAGCATGGAGCCTGCTTGGGATTCTCTCTCTCTCCCTCTCTCTCTCTGCCCCTCTCCTGCTCATGCTCTCTCTCAAATTAAATAAATAGACTTAAAAAAAAGAAGATATAAGGCTAACAAAGAGAGGGGAAAAAAAGAAAGCAAGCTGTAAAAAAGTGTGCAGTGTGTGAAGAAATTAATGTTAAAGTTAAAACACACATATACATTTATTTTTAGAAATATATCGGGGTGCCTGGGTGGCGCAGTCGGTTAAGCGTCCGACTTCAGCCAGGTCACGATCTCGCGGTCCGTGAGTTCGAGCCCCGCATCAGGCTCTGGGCTGATGGCTCAGAGCCTGGAGCCTGTTTCCGATTCTGTGTCTCCCTCTCTCTCTGCTCCTCCCCCGTTCATGCTCTGTCTCTCTCTGTCCCAGAAATAAATAAACGTTGAAAAAAAAATTAAAAAAAAATAAAATAAAAATAAAAGAAATATAAATTGGCTGTATAGAAAAAGGCTCTCGGGATGCCTGTGTGGCTTAGTTGGTTAAGCACCTGACTTCAGCTCAGGTCATGATCTCACGGTTTGTGAGTTCGAGCCCCGCGTCGGGCTCTGTGCTGACAGCGCAGAGCCTGGAACCTGCTTCAGATTCAGTGTCTCCCTCTCTCTCTGCCCCTACTCTGCTCATGCTCGCTCTGTCTCTGTCTCTCTCTCTCTCTCAAAAATAAACAAACATTAAAAAAAATTAAAAAAAAAAGAAAAAGTCTCTAAAAGGATAAACAAGGTATGTTTAACAATGGCTTCCTCTAGAAGTTGGAGTTTAAATACTAAGGTAGGAAAGAAATTTCTTCCTTTTTTAAGGTGAGGTGTAAAGATTTCAGTTTAATAAAAATTAAATAAACATAGATTTTTACTTATTTCAGAAAATAAAGTAAAATAATTGAAAAAAACATATTCCTATGGTGAATTAATCATGAATCAAGTAGTTATAGTGCTTTAAAGACTTGGAAAATCTAATGTATTTCTGTAAAAATTAGGATATAATTTAATATTCTACTAAAAACAAAATGAAAATATGTAAAATGAATCAAAATCTTAAAGTATATTTGGGCACACTGTATGTCTATTCTTCTCTTAATCATATTGCTTTAATTCCAAATTATGTTACCAAAACAAGAGGTCTCTGAAGCATGTATTTTCCATGGGAAAAAAGTATTTCCAATGAACATCTAAGGGATCCAAAATTGTCATGGCTTGCTTTGTTGACTCATCTAATCTTTGTTGGCTTCTCATCCTTGCCACCAATATGAGAACAAAAAGGGGCAGAAGTAGCCAGATCAGAAGGTATGAGCAAAAACCAGTCTACCCTGAATCTTATATGGACATGTTGAAATATAAATAAGTATGTGAACCAAAAAGTTGACTCTTTAAAGGCCTATTGACTAAATAAATGATCTATTTCGTGATATTAACAGTTTTTGCAATATTAATTTTATTTATAATATTACAAGCATTAATATCATACATCTGATAATTTACTTATAATAAATACAATAATTTTCTTCCTTTTCTTTTTTTCTAAGCAAAATGTAAGGAGGCGAAATTGGAGATTACCTTGAGTGTATTCACTTCCTCCAAGGCATCATTTCTTTCACGCTTAAGCCTTTCCATTTCATCTGCCTCTAAGGAATCACAGGGAAGAAGCTGTCAACATTAAAATACAAGAAAAAAGTTATGCATTAAATGCTAATTATGAGAACTAGCATGAAAATCCTTTTTGACGAGTGTTAAGCTTTTGCATTTTAATAACAAAATTTGGTTTCTTTGGAGTCATTTGATTAGATGAAAGAGAATATTAAAGCAACCTGGGGAAACTTGATTTAAGCCTAACTTCACATTGTTGTTATTTATAACAGAATCTAGATGATTATAACATATACATAGCCTGTTGTCCTCTTTATGATTGTTTCAACAATATAATTTCCCTTAAAAGTCCAAATTCTAAGACTATGTTTATAATGTCAAAAAGACGTTGAGTTATTGACATAAACTCTTCCCCAAAGACATCCACGCCAAGTACATGGTATATAAGGCTAACAAAAGGCTGGACATTATCAACCAAGATGGTTTATGTAAACCCAGTAAAGTTCATTAATCGATGATATGTCTTGTTTTAACTAAATAAAATGCAATATTAACAGCCAAGCAGCTTAAAAAGATCCCTGCACAGAAATTGTGGATTGAAAGTAATATTAATAATTCATGCACAAGTGAATAACAACAACAACAAAATACCAGAGATGACAATTTCTCTTCTCTTACTGCTAGCATGATCTCTTTGACAGTTAATTACAAGGTAAAAAACAATGACAATCTAATCAGAGACGAAAATCCAAGTCTAATTACAGCCATCTTGTATGTATAAATTATAACAGAATAAAAAAAGTATAGAAAATATAATTTAAAGGACTGATTGCTCTTATAAGAATGGGCTTAAGGTAGGGCCTTTCAGAGAGGAGAGGTAAATACAAAAGATCATAAAAATAATAATGTCACCATTTATTATGAACTTACTGTGTGCAGATACATTGCTAAGGACTATATATATATTCAAAGTTATATCCTTCCTATAACCTTGTCTCCATTTAACTGAGGAGGAAACGGGCCCGAAAGGTAAGCAGCTTGCTTAAACTTTCACAGCTAATAATGGCCACCTCATGATTCTCATAGAGATCTGACTTTAGTCATTAGTCTGTGATTTTTACTAACTGCCTAACAGAAATCATGGTGGAATGGATAGAAGAAATTCAGGTTTAATTTTAAATGATAGAATAACTGAAGTAGGAGTCATCCCTCAATTTTAGGGAGAAACATTTTCCTAAACAAACATCCTAAGCATTTCCTAAACATTTTGTCCTGACAATTACCTTTAGGTATGTATGGCCATTTGTTTTCATCATCTCATATCCTTCATCTGTCTCTGTTATTCTACTCTTTTGTGAGTACTCAACACACACTCAAAGAATTCATTCTTATACTATTTAGAATAGTTTTTGATACATATTCAAATGTAACAATATTTCTCAAAGCTCATTCCAAAGGATATTAACTAGTTTTGTACAAAAGCAAAACTGAGTGGTGCTGATGGTGGTACTGGTCCCTGTGGCCAGGTAAGTTGGAGAAATGTAGGATTTAGAAAAAATGAACTTTCCCGCAGAGCTTCCAACATCCTTAATACTCTAATGAGCACTTTGAATATCCCAAAAGGAAATAAAATTTAATAACTTGTTGCATTTCCTCAAGTTATTTGACCATATCCCCAACCACCACACCTTTATTTATTTTGGGACATCTCAGTGGACTAATGCCTGCAAAAGCACAAAGTGTTCTGGGAAACACTGCTACTCAACATTCAGATAAGCCTATTATGTCTTGCGTGTTATCTAAGACATGAAATACACAGAATTCAAAAGCTTAAATAAGAATCTAGATAACACAACTATATCAATTTATTAAGAGAAATTATAGGTTGGCGTTTTAGGGATATGATTATAAACTTGTGAGCTTAAAATATGGAGGCAAATCATGAATAAAAGAGCCCATGGTACCATTTTAGGAGGTAAAATGCTAGCCCAAATAGTCATAGAACAAACCATGACTCAAAAACAAAAAACCAAACAAACGTGCTATAATCCTATTGCTATTTTAGGCTAAGCAGTGAAAACCTACAGCCAGAGAATTGGCCATAGATGTTACCTGTGAATTCTTTGAAAAACCTCTTCGTGCTCAGTCATGTGTTAAGAGTTTGAGTATCTTCAACTGAGCAAGCAACAGATGAAATGAATTGTTTCTATTTAACTTCAAATGATTTCAGACAGATAACTGTTTTCTTTCCTTTTTTTTTTTTTTAATGTTCACTTATTTTTGAGAAAGAGAGAGAATGAGTGGGGAAGAGGCAGAGAGAGAGGGAAACACAGAGTTTGAAGCAGGCTCCAGGATCTGAGTCGTCAGCACAGAGCCGGATGTGAGGCTCGAACTCACGAACTACGAGATCATGACCTGAGTGGAAGTCGGACGCTTAACCAACTGAGCCCCCCAGGCACCCCAAGACAGAGAACTGTTTTCTAACCTGCTTCCAATTCTTGGGCTTTATCCTTCCCTTCCTCCATTCCTTTCCTGTCTGGCTCTCACAGTATCATTTGTGATCCTCAGGCTGTCCCCCTCTGAAACACCTGGTAGATAACACCATAAATCATTTCCACTCTATTCTGGATAGCCACTATTCCGTTCCAACACTCAATTCATTCCAACACTCAATTCATCTTCAATAGAACAATGTCTGCTTCAGGTCAATTTTATTGATAAAGCCTTCCACTAGAAACCAAGTCAATTACCTCCTTTCCTTAAATTTCTGTATATTTCCCTATTTCCTCCTTCCTTTCTCTTACTCCTTTACTTCTTTTTTTTTAATGTTTTATTTTTATTTTTGAGAGCGAGTGAAAGCAAAGGAGGGGCAGAGACAACGGGAGACAGAGGATTTGAAGTGGGCTCTATCTACACTGACAGCAGAGAGCATGATGCTGGGTTTGAACTCATAAACCTTGAGATCATGACCTGAGCTGCAGTGGGACACTTAACTGACTGAGCCACCCAGGCGCCCCACTCCTTTACTTCTAATAATCTGGTTTACATATATTTCTTCCCATCCGTACATTTTAAAAATAATTTATGTTCCATGTCACCAATAAACCTAGTATTTGACAAAATAAATGCACTCCCCCATCAACTTTCTTAACCTCCTTTCTTTCATGTAACATTGCTTAAGCCATTTGTCCTTGACACTTTCTCTTCCCTATGTTTTTGATTTCCCACTATCTCACCTGCCCTTCAGAATATTTAGGCTGCTTCTAATAATTTCATTCTACTCCTTAAGTGGGAGTGGAGGAGGTTCCGCAAAGTTTGTCCCTTTCTCCCTTTCTCGCTCTCCCTGAGTGAACACTTCAACTATCATCCTCCAAATCCCTGTGTCTAGTTCCTTATTTCCAGTGGCCTTTTGGTCACTTACACCTGTCAGCATATTGAACTTACTCTCTAAAATCCAACTATCATCTTCTCCACTGTTCTCATTTCCCTATTTCTGGCAATAGCACCACCCTACTATTATTCATCATCCTAATCAAAACTCTGCAGTGAGCTTTAATTCATTCTTCCTTCTTTCTTTTTTTTTTTTTAATTTTTTTTTCAACGTTTATTTATTTTTGGGACAGAGAGAGACAGAGCATGAACAGGGGAGGGGCAGAGAGAGAGGAAGACACAGAATCTGAAACAGGCTCCAGGCTCTGAGCCATCAGCCCAGAGCCCGACGCGGGGCTCGAACTCACGGACCGTGAGATCGTGACCTGGCTGAAGTCGGACGCTTAACCGACTGCGCCACCCAGGCGCCCCCATTCTTCCTTATTTCTTACACTCAAATGCAAGTCTTAATGATGATATACTTGTTGTTGGTAAATTATCATATATCTGTCTCTCCATTCTTCCCATTTTCCTCACCTTCATTCTTTAGTTCTTAATATTCTATATTTGGACTCTTTCCTTTGTGCCCTATCTAGGCTACCTATGACCAGTTTCATTACCTTCCAAGATAACCAACACTACTATAAGATTATTATTTCTAAACTATCAATTTTGATTGTGTCACTATTCTCCCTAATGGCTCCTCACTGACTACGAGTAAGGTACAAACTTCTAAGTATAATATTTACATTTTTAGGCCTAACTTCCTTCACTGATCTGCATGTACCTGCTTATCTTTTTATTTAAAAAAATTTTTTTCAACGTTTATTTATTTTTGGGACAGAGAGAGACAGAGCATGAACGGGGGAGGGGCAGAGAGAGAGGGAGACACAGAATCGGAAACAGGCTCCAGGCTCTGAGCCATCAGCCCAGAGCCTGACGCGGGGCTCGAACTCCCGGACCACGAGATCGTGACCTGGCTGAAGTCGGACGCTTAACCGACTGCGCCACCCAGGCGCCCCTTATCTTTTTAAAAAAGTAGATTACTCTAGGGGCACCTGGATGGCTTAGTCAATTAAGCATCTGACTCTTGATTTTGACTCAGGCCATGATCTCACATTTTTGCGAGTTTGAGCCCCACATCAGGCTCTGTCCTGACCCTGCTGGGCCTGCTTGGGATTCTCTCTCTCTCTCTGCCCCTCCCCAGCTTGCACACTTTTCTCTCAAAAATAAAAAAACTTCCAAAAAAAAAAAAGGTATATTACTCTGTTTACCATCACATTATGTATATATTTTTATTCATGCTAATTCTCTTATCACTTTCTGTTCACCTCTTAAGTAGATAAAACCCTACATATCATTTAAAACTCACTCAAAAGTTAACTCTGTTAGGAATCTTCTCTGAATATTCTAGGCTCTATCATAACTATGGTCTTACCATGTAGTGCTAGAGCTTGTTTAAAATCTATTTATGTACATGACTTTCCTTGCACAATACTTTAAATTCCTTGAGGGACAGGCTTAAGTTTATTTATTTTAATAACGTGCTGGAGCAGCTAACACAATGCCATCCACACTATAGTTGTTCAATATATATTTAATGTTTTGCAGATGAAATATAATGAAGTGGCTATAAAGTACATACTGTCACACATAGTGAGACATACCTTTTATATCATGACCTCACTATA